AAACCCTAGTAAAACGCATAACATCATGACTTCCATTAGTTTATACATATTATTTATCAAGCAGATGTTTTCAATTAAATATCAATTAGTATCGAAAGTACTAGTAATCTATTGCCATAATATAATATTGTTATTCTAGCCTCGAGCTATCATTTAATTAGAATATCGGGGTACATATCAAATTTGGATTGTTGAATTTAATTTCAACGATTTTAGTAGAAATGAACTTTGCAATTTTGCACTCGTAGCTAGTACCAAAACGTAAGATTATCTACAGCATTATTTAGACAGACACTAGCATTATTTCTTGAGCACATAACCATCGTCTCCTTACTTGTTCTTATTACTAGTGATAAGCTTGTACAAAATAAATGATTGAGACAAATAAATTTGACAATGGTAGTGTCGTAGCCAGCCCACGACAGGGAGACCTGGTCCTTTGAAGTTGTATGATAGCTAGGGCTACAACAGCCAAGTATGCCCCAACGGGCTAAGCATATACTAGTCTTAGACTTTTAAAATAGTTTTATTGAGTGAAGGTAGCCTTGCCATCCAAGACTACTCTGACCCCACGGTCAACCGACAACTGAACTGCTAGTGAGAGAGCTGGGCTTTATATACCCTAGCTCGGTCGCACTCGGTGCACAGCTTAGGTAAACAACTCTAAAACATACAGCTTTTGTATAGCCGTTTGCCTATATGGTTTAGTATGACAAACGGCGTAAACAACACTAATGAGTTATGAACTAATTAAGAGCCAATTAACAACCAAAGGCTCAGCACAAAGTAACAGAGATTACTATGGTGTGAACATTACTTATTACTTCTGTAAACACATTGTTCTGCACAGAGCCTACAACAAGTGTAATTAGACTACTAATAATGTTATAATTACTCCATAGCTAATAAATAAATGTTATTGCCAATTAATAAAATCTTAATTACTATTTACCAAGGCTAATGCCACAATTAATTGATTGAGTCTATACTCCGTCACAGGTAGTAACATATCAAATGTTTCTACTGCAACATTTGCGATATTTCAAATGTAAACTATCTGATGCGTATGAGTGGAATTTACCATTAATTATATAGACATAAATTTATACTTCTGTTTCAATTTAGTTACAACATAGCTGCAAAGAATTCCTATTAGAAATTATAATTTATTTCTTGTTGGCAAAAAGCTAAGTTATTATCCAAATTTCGATTAATATTATTATGTAAACTTATTCTAAATAGTCAGTATTACAATATCAAAAAATTGCTATTCACAAAACCCTTACAGTGTATGTGAATATACAACACTACACCTAATTAGTGCAAACATTAGAAATGAATATTTGATACATAGGCGATTAATGCTTTTAGACACTAATAATTAATTCAAAATTATAACAGGAAGTGCAAACTTTGTAGTAAATACGTAGTAAAATCCTAAGTAAAAGTTATATTTTGCTATAATTAAGCCTTTTTCAACGTTTAAATTATAAGTATGCTGTACATTCAAGAAAATATAGCCTAAACTTGTGGACTGACATTACTATAAATTACGGTTTATTCAAAGTAGGTAAATGACAGACAATCTTAATTCTTTAAGTACACAACTATTAGTACCTGAGAATTCATAATTTATAGTTCACAGGCCCTGTGCTATGATAGAAGATAGTTTTAAATAAAATAATACTTTATTAATCACCGAATACTCTGATTATTTGTAGAATATTTCAATATTTTCTCTGAATGCAGTGCCTTCCATAAGTACATTTTTCGCTAATTTTTTCAATTTTATAATGCTTCTTTTTACTGTTAAGAAATACTCATTTTCATGACCATTACCGTAGACATGTTGCTTTTAGGCTATAATATTATATTCGGTACTTGATATACTTTAAATTGGCTATTAAATGTAATAAATAGGGATACTACTGAAAAATTGTACGGCATGCATAAATTAATTATTAACAACCTATGCTAATAATATGGCCTATCCGTGAATACACCATTAACAAATTATCCTTATAATATGTATAGTATAACCGTAAATATATCTTCTAATTTTAAATACAATAGCAACATATAGATAAAAATGCTGTTAACCGCCTCACGACATCATATTACTTGATTAAGTAGCAGACATGAGTCAGATAGACATGAAGAATATTGAATTAAGTGTTTAGAATCAGGTAAAGTGTTACTATAGTGTCATGAAATAAGAAAATGGATAGGATATTATTTAGTATTTGCCCTAATCTTAGCCAGTACAGCCTCTCTTTTAACAGTAAGTGTATTGACATTTGTGTCTTGTTGCTTTCTATTAGTTTTTATTGCCGTATCTAGGCGATCAATTTCGTTATCCATTTGTAATAATTCATTGCTTATCTTTTCGTATTTTTTCATGGTAACTTCCATAGAATCTCCTATGGCTACGTCTTGACTACCTAAGCTGTTTTTTCGTTGCACTGGGCTACTAGAAGACCAATTCGACTCTTGCTGATGGTTTGCTTTGGAATGGCTATATGTACGCTTCCTAATTGTACTACCAATATGGCGATGATGCTGATTACTTATTATTTTCTTAATATTATTTAAATGTTTTGTTGCTTCATCACGCTTTAACATGATTGAATTTCGATTTTTCTTGTATTGAGTATCAAATCGAGCTGCACGTTGATTTTCATCTTCAATGGCTGCATTATACTGTTCGATAACAGAAATTTCCGGAGTCCCACTGACGGGTGATGGTAATCTCCAAGTATTAGATTTACTTCTGACTTTCTCTAGAAATTCGTTCTCTATGTTATCGATGCTAAGAACCTCAGCCTGAATTCAGATTAAAATACAACCGTTAATTAGTGCAGCAAAGGTGCAATTGATTTTATCTAGTCGTAAAAAATATATTATTCTAGCTT